TCCAAGAGAAGTGGTGCTGGCTCCTACCCTGGGGGTCTTTAAGAGGAGGCTAGATGTACACCTTGCTGGGGTCGTTTGACCCCAGTACTCTTTCCTCATGGCAGGGGGTTGGACTAGATGATCTACTCAGGTCCCTTCTGACCCTAGAAACTATGGAACTCTGAGACCCATAAGTGTTGTGAGTCACAAGGAGGAATGAGCTCCTTAATAGGAGGAAAAATTCAAATAAATCACCTCAAAAATATTGCAATTGTGGGATGTGAGAGAACTTCATGGCCTTATATTGGAGGGTAGGTAGTTGAAATGCAGGTAATCCAAAATGCCCTGCATAGACAAAGGGAGCAACCTATTAATTGGGTCCAAATTAAAAACATTTTCATTTGGACAGGTAGCCATTCTGCTGTAGCCTTTCTACTCTTTCAGAAACCTGTCTGGAACCTGCTGAGAGTCATCCTTCTCAAAATGGGTTTGCTATTCAGTCTTCAGGGTCTGGGATGTAGGCTTTCCATGCTGGGATTTAGGACATGATAAAGATATTAAGAATTGCATCCTGCACTAGTGACAATTTGTGAAGGGGCTGAACTGACAGTATTTAAAGGTCACAGGACCATATTGTGTTGGCTGTGCTAGAACTAATAAGATGATCTTGGCATGATCCAGTTTTATTTTTAGATACACTTTTTTAATTGGGGCTTCAAATGCAAAAGCTTCAAATATATAGTAGTAAGAAGGAACCCATGGAAAAGGTTCCTGGCACTTAGTAAATGAGGTAAATGATTCCCAAAAGGAGGAATGGAAAGAAGAATGCAAATGAATAGTACTCTGATTCTGATGAAGCAGTGAATTAGGCTATTTGAAAGTATAAGGTGGCTAAAGCAAAGCTAAAACTGAAGCTGTTGGATGTCTCTCTCATGGGATTTGCAATGCTTCTTGCCTGGGTTGACTTGAAGCTTGCCAGTATAACTGTTGAGGCTCACGATGTCATTCTCTTGGGACTAAAGCATCAGAGGAATATGTTCACTCTGCACTTGGTAGCAGGTGCAGATTTTCTAAGCAAAGGATGTCTTCTAGAACCTTTATAGGTCACACATGAGGATTTGGCCGTGGACATCTATTTGAGAAACGTGGCTCTTCTCAGAAAGTGCTGTATGATAAATAGAGGGAGCTGGCAGATTCATTTAGGCAACCAAAAGTCCTGTATTTCATCTTTTTAGTGTTCAGGGCCAGAGGTGGGGTGTATATATTTTTGTTTCCATCAGTCTCTAAGATGCAACCCTGGATTTTCAGTTCTCTTCTAAAAAGACTTGCAGATCTTGCATTTTTTCCTAAGGTAATCCAAGAATTTAGTATGCTTACCCATCACTCGTGGGTATAACAGCTTCACAAGGAGGCCTGGAGTATCTGCACAGTTTTACTATATCAAAGAAAATACCATAGGACTTTAGGGAAAACAATATTTTCTCCTAGCTCATTCTTTGTAAAACTACTGTATGTCATAATTAACTAGCTCTGTAAACTATTTGCATGTAAAAGAGTATTGCTAAGAATGAGAGCACCATGAGTCCCTGTTGGGACCCAGTAGACTTGGGGAAGCCAGGAGCCCCTAGACAAGACCTCACGGCCTGATCAACCAGTGAAGTTGCATTCGCAATAGCTTGGGGTGGTGAGCGTCTGCTTTGACTAGCTACAGTATTAAATTGTAACTGCTGAAAATGCTTTATTCCTAATTTAGAATTGTATTTGCTAAGAGCTTAATAAATTGGTTTTGGTTGGAATTAACACCTGGTACAAGGCCCCAAATAATGTTACTAGACATAACGTTTCAGGCAAATTGAAACGTTCCAAAAGACAGTGGAGGTGGTGACAAGGTAGCGAGGAAGGTTTGTGTATGTGCGCCCTTTATACTCTTGCCCAGAGGCATGAGTATGTATAGAATGCATGGTCTGTTCAGACATGTGCTTTTATATTTTTATGGCTTTAATTGCACTTTTTTCTAGGGCTGCTTCCTCAAATAACTGCCACAGTAAGACATAATGGTATTGGTAGATGTAGAATAGTGGAAGTGTGCGTCATCTTAGCTTTCAGAGCTCAGGAGGACTAATGTTGGGTTCAGTAGTATGGCTGAGAATCATAACATTTTCTGTGTCTTTATCAGGGAAATACTAAACAAATTCAGGTTCTGAATTTCTTTAATTCTGCTGACAGTGGACCTTGTGTTGGAAAGGATAGGAACATCATTTTACCTATCCATTACCTGTCAGCTTTAGCATGATATATGGTTGGAAATGGAAATTAGTACCCACCAGCTGCCATTTATAAGTTGTCTACATAGGGAAAGCAAGAAGGAAATATTAAGGTTTGTTTATTTTATTTTTTCAACTTATAGAGCTTGCCTATCTCCATGTATTTCTAGGCATAAAAATAACAGAAATTTAGAAACACTTAAAATAATAAAACCAAACTGACAAACTCAACAATACTCTTGATAAACTCTTGTTTCAGGTATATCAAGCAGTTATAAAGTATAAATACGATTAAAGTTAGCCTTAATAGCACTACAGTTAATTAGTAAGTGTACAGTTAATTAGTAAGTGTTAAGCTGAAGCTGTCTATACAATCATTTCCCAGAGTATTAGCACACACCATTTTACTCAGTGGTATTAGCACCTTGGCACCAAGTTACTGAATGGCTCCAAAGAGTTATGTTGCAACTCCTGGTGTCAAAGACTTATTAAATGAATATGTAAAGGCTGTCTTTTGCCCAGAAGTTCTTCATGTGAAACATACAGTATACAGACAAAAACAGACTTATTATTTGATCTCTAAAAGTGAATTGCTACTTTATCTATACTGCAAGAAATTCTTCAGTATTGTTGGCAACTGAAGTTGAGGAACCAGATGCAGTCTAGTTCTTCCTATGTAATTTCTGATGCACAGTCGGCAGAGCTGGCAAAGGGAACATGGAGTAGCTGTGAACAGACAAGAAATAATTCAGCAAATGCAATACTCAGTTTTTGCAAATGTTCACAACATAGAGCATAGTTTATATTATTTTGGAATCCTTCATACATAATGCAATTTTTTTATAAATGCTTTATCAGTCTTACTGACCTTACACAATATTTTCTCTCTAAGGTGTGTTGCTGAATAAAAATTAGGCAACTCAAACTTGACTAAAGATCAAACCAACAGGAAAAATTTAGGGTTACACAAGGATTTGTATGAGATGGCTTGGAGAGGGATGATCCTGCCACAAGCAGGGGATTGGACTGAATGACCTCTGAACCTTCTAGCCCTACTCTTCTATGATTCTGTATTAGCTTTGGAGGAATAAAATATAAAATCTGATTCTATCAAGTCTTTCATAGGTATACTATTCAATGATAACACATAATGGATAGTTTTAAAGCTGCATGTGACTGTATCAATAATAAATTATCTTTATTTTTTAAAACATGTTCTCATAATCTAAACAACAAATGCAACTACTGAGGAATAGATTTCTAACCCACACACTGGAACAGAACTGTAAAATATAGTTTTAAAATAAACAAGATTTTGTCTCTGACACTGTTTCCTAAACTTTCTGGCCTAACAATCCACTGAAAGCCCACAAAATTTCTAACGGATCAACAGGCATCATTGCATCATAGGAAAGTAGAGCTACAAGGGGTCTCATGAAGTCATCTAGTCCAACCTTCTGCTCGAGGCAGGATCATCCTGACTACACTCTTCCATCCAAGTATCTGTCTAATCTGTTCTTGAAAGCTTCCAAGCATGGAGATTTCACAACTTCTGTAGGTAGCCTGTTCCAATGCTTGACCATCCTCAGAGTCTAAAAGTTCTTCCTAATCTCCAACCTAAATTTCCTCTGCTCCAGTTTAAGGCCATTGCTCTTAGCCTTTTCTGTATGGCCATAGGGGACAGGACTATCTCCATTCTCTTTATAATTATCCTTCAGGTCTTTGCAGACTGTTGTTAAATCCCCTGTCAGTCCTCTCTTCTCCAAACTAAATAACCCTAGTTTTTTTACCTTTTCCTCATAAAACACGCTTCCCAGGCCTCTAATCATTTTCACTGCTCCCTGCTGGACTCCTTCCAATCTTTCCATATTTTTCTTAAAATGTGGGGCCCCAAACTGAACACAGTATACATGGTAAGGCCTCACCAGTGCTGAAGAAAGTGAGAGAATCACTTCTCTTTATTTGCAAACACACTCTTGTTAATACAACCCAGTGTGCTGTTTGTTTGTTTGTTTTGCTTTTTTGCAAGAAGAGCATGTTGGTTCATATTTAGTTTATGGTCCACTGCAACCTAGCCAGTCATTTCCTCATTTGTACTTGTGCACACAGTTCTTCTGTCCCAAGTGCAAGAACTTTGAATTTCACTTGATTGTGGACCATTTTTCTAGTTTATCTAGGTCATTTTGAATCTTTATTTGTAGATCATGGACTTGCAGACCACATGTAGTCTATGAATCAGTTTGAGAACTAGTGATTTAAAATACATGGCAATAAATGTAGTTCAAATGGCATTTTTTTTTTACAGGAGATTGAAGGTGCATTCCAGGATGTATATTTTCTTTTAAAAAATCCATTAATAAAAATGGGTAAGCAACACACACATCCATTAAACTAATATTCTGCTTGTCAACAAAGTCAAAAAAAGCTCGGGTAGTAGAATAAAAATCATTGAAACAGGAGGCCCAAAGCCTGTGCACAAAAGTGCATAAAGGATTGCATATTTACGTAGGCTTGACATCATTCACGATCATGCCTGAACTTTACATAGCTGGATACAAATGGTTAGTCTGGTTTCAAATTTAGTTACACAAATCCTTGCAGAGCCTAGGCTTCCTATTTTGAGACTGCCCTGATGGTGATCTTTGGTTGCCATCCAAGTAGTGTAACAAGCAGTGGGCAACCAGGGCATCATCCCTGGATGCCAACTTAGAGGGGGAGCAAGAATAGCACTTGTCACTGGTGCCACAGTCAGCACAGCTCGTACCACTGTTACTGCTGCCAGAGGACAGATTCTGGTAGTTAAGCCCCTGAGTTACCCTAACTTTTCCTCCAACTGTTGCTTTAGATACAGTTAAAATATCCAAGTCTTTCTGTAAGCAAATGGCATGTTAGCCATAAATTGAAATTGCTAGTCTTTATTGGCTTGTGTCACCACCTGCTAAACATATGAGGCCAGATCTTCAGCTAGTTTAAATACCAATGGAGTTCCATGAACATATCAGGATGTAGCTTGGGTTCTAAAAATATATATATTACATAGCTGGAGATTAAATGAATATTTATTTTTTCAAATGAAATATAGTATTAACAGTATTATTACTCTGTCAGAGAACAAAAGGTATCAAATTATGAAAAAAGTGTTTTATATTACTTACCTTCGTAGAGAAGCAACGTTCTCTCCACCAAACTTCTTGGAGGAGCTAAATCTATAGGCCTTTCAAAATCTGTGTTCCTGGCATTAATGTCTGCACCAAATTCAAGAAGTAAGTTCACTATCTCTGCACTGGGTTGTTGAGCAGCTGCATGTAGTGGAGTATCCAAATGCTTTCCTTTCTGTACATTAGCACCTTTGTACATATGCATATAGGAAAGAGAAAGAAATAGATTAATTTAAAGTGTCCTGCACTAGAAGGCAATCTTTACAAATCTGGTTCAAGATTTTTTTTAAAAAAATGAGTGCTGGTATTCCTCTTGGGAACACTTGTATAATGTCCAGAATTAAAATAATTCTGACCACCTAAGTCATGGTCAGTATGAGCTACTGGCTGAGACATAAGTAATATTTTGGCCCCTAAAGGTAGATGTAGGAGCGTACCTTAAGGCATCTATTTTTTAAAACAACCCAGATCTTTGATAATTTTTAATAAATTCTCTAATGGATCAAAAACTTAGTGGTTGGGCTTGAATACCCATAAAGCGATACTGTTTTGCCATGCACTGTTGTTTAGTGTCCACATCTATTCAGTTAAAATGCAAAAAACTGTCAAGTCTATTGAAAATTATCTAGTCATATCTGTGATCCTTGTATAGTGTTTAATTCCCATATACTTGTGCTATGCATTTTTGTATTCTAAAGTGAGTTTCACCAGAAGAAAACGCCTTAAAATTAAAGGAAGTCAGTCATAGGAACTCAGTTTTAAAGAAAAGTTGCTCTGTAGTTTAGTACACTATAAATCTACTTATTAAACTGTATTTTTTTAGCATATGCTATAAAATAACTGCTCGGTATTAACTGTCTTCTGTATAAATACCCATTTCATGTGAACCACACACAACCTGTAACCTATCTTGACCTGTTCTTATTTTTTGCTCATTTTAACTGTTCTAAGAACATCTAAAGTTTCCTTCAATACGGATCAAACACAATTTGAAACTAAAATAATCACATTTCTGTATTTTGTCTTCTCCTTTGAGTCTTTGTTCATGCTGTTATAGTTCTATGGTCTCCCATATGTAGAAACTTGTGCATGGTGATGAAACAACCTCAGTCCTGGTCTACCAAGGCTTCCTAAGGACTTGGCTACATGGAGAGGCTATATTAAACCCAGGAAGGGTGTACAATTAAAGCAGAATAATTGGTTTTGTTCACCTCCCACAAAAAAAAAAAGTTAATCAAAATGGAAAAACAAAGACAAGACTGCTAAAATATTTGTCTGCTCTGGTGTATTAATCAAAAATTGCCATTCTGCTTTTTTTTCCAAATAGGAAGTGTGGGTGTGTGTTTGGGGGGGGGGAGGGGAGAGATGGTTACTAGTCCTAAAAATATTTGCAACCATCCCCATACTGTACACCAATTATCACAATGTTTCCTCTGACAAATCTTTTTGAAAAAATGGTTAATGGAATACAGTTAACATTAAAGCCTTATAACAAAAGAAGATTTTAGCTGTTTGACTAAGGAGAGTTTATTTACCACAAAATATTAATATTTTGTGAGTTTATATAGTAAAGACATACCTGCATAAAGAAGCTTTCGAATACAATGGATCTGCTGTGAAACACAAGCTACATACAGAGGTGTTCCCAAATGAGGTAGTTCTTGGTCAACATCTATACCCCAAGATATCAACACCTCCAGGCATTCACTATGACCTGCCAACAGAGTAAGAAATTCTGCATATCTCTTCATTAAGATACTTCATCTATGAAACCTGATGCATTTCTTAATGTACAATTCCATTTATCAAGAGCTCTGAGTATGTTCAGAAGCTAATTTCTTACCTCTACTGGCTGCTTCGTGAATTGGTGATGGGAGACATGACTCCCACTGTGCTTTGGCACCATACTCCAACAAAAGCTCTGCACAAGATGCACTGCCTCTTGAGCATGCATTAAATAAGGGTGTCACTCCATCAATCGTTGTAGCATTTACCTAGAAGATAAAGATATGTCCAACAATGAGACCAACATAAGTGTGTGTGCTCTTACCTGATGACATTTTAAACTAAGGTACAGTTGAAATATGCTTGATGAATCAAGAAATACACTGTTTAACATAACATAGCTTTACTCCACTCGGCCCCTCTCTGTTGTAATCTTCCCACCACGCTTTTCATCTATGGAAGCAAGTTTGCTATTATGCTGTGTGGACCGAATCTGAGAAAACAGTTCACCTGGAACACTATAAATTCCAAAAACCCACAGTTGGGCATCTACATATATACAAAGGTACCAAATTCTCAATGACTTAGAAGCTCTAGAATAGATTATTCACTCCATTAAAATTCTCTTATTGCTCACTCAAGAACATTCCTTGCTGCAGCTGTAAAAGCTCTTAAATTAGCAAAGAACTAATGTTCTTTGTGCTTCTAAGAAACCTCAATTACCATTTACACTGATATATTAAAAAATACATTTTTTATAAAGCTCTTCATGGCTTTTCTAATTTTCCCATTTTAAGTAGAGGAAATATCTCTAAAGCCGGGAAAACTACTCACCTCATAACACTATCATGATCTTCTATTTGGTTTTTGGAGACACACACACACACACACACACACACACACACACACACACACACACACACACACACACACACACACACACACAAACACACACA